AGCACAGGCTCCGGACGCGCAGGCTCTGCGGCCATGGCTCACGGGCCCAGCCGCTCCGCGGCATGTGGGATCTTCCCGGACCGGGGCACGAACTCGCGTCCCCTGCATCGGCAGGCGGACTCCTAACCACTGCGCCACCAGGGAAGCCCTAATTTTTTCAAAATTGTAAATTATACACCCCAAAATATGTAGTAGCCTTCAAAGTAGTTTTTTTATTAAGTTACTCCAAATAGAGTACCTCCGTTCCAGGCTCTTGTTGAAACCCCTTTGGAAACTGCTTGCAGAGTTTTGCACTGTATATTCTTTTGAATATACAGTTAGATATGATACTTTCTGGGTGGATTTGGTTTAAAGAAACAGCCAGAAGTAATTAAAAACTTTTCTTGTATAATTTGCAGGCTGGCTTTTAATAATACACAACTTTAATTTTTTCTAATCTAAGCAAATGTTTAGCAAGAATGTTCTTTTAAGAATTTGTATTTTCTGAAAAGCCTTACACAGAACAAGGGAAAGAAGTCTTTAGGGCTCACCAGATGTGAATATTAATTTAATCATCAATCCATAGAATTTCAGTGCCTTCTCTATCATGCAAGAGGGTTCTCACTTTATAATACATCTTTTCATTCCCCTCCCCCTGCAAGTCTTCAAGTTTTCTTCTTAAAAGGGGCTTCTGCTTACAATTTCATCAGTAGACTTGCTGGCCAAACGGGTATATTCTTTAAAGGAAAAATGGGCACATGTTCACACAGACAATAATTGGGTAGTCCTTCCATTAAAAATATTTTTGCCTTTTTCTAAACACACACTAATCCTTGACAAGTCAATTTCTCTTGGACCTCCTTCTTCCTCTCTGGAGATTCCTTCTCAGACACGCTTGCTGGACCCCTTTCCTTCTACAGTCATTTCTGGGTATGAGATTGGTTCTGGACCCCTCAGGGATACCAAAATCGGTGGATGCTCAAGTCTCTTACATAAAATGGCATTGTATTTGCATATAACCTATGCACATCCTCCCTTATACTTTAAATCATCTCTTACAATACCTAATACAACGTAAATGGTATGTAAATATTTGCTAAGCTGGTGGCAACTTCAAGTTTTGCTTTTTGGAACTTTCTGGAATGTTTTTCTTTTTACAAATATTTTTGATCTGAGATTGGTTGAATGTGGAACCTTTGAATACAGAGGGCTGACTGTAGTCCCTTAAATGTTTCATGGACTTTCAATGTCTTCAATTAATATCTACATGCTAACAACTCAGAACCCACAGTTAGGTCTAGCTCTCTTCTGGGCTCCACACTCATGTATCTAAATGCCAGTGGAGAGCTGCACTTGAAGTTTCCACAGCACCTTCAAAACAAACTCAACTCAGTCTATGGCCTCTCAAACTTGCCATCTCAGTGTATGGCACCTGTATCTCACAGTCACCCAAGTGAGAAACCTGGCTGTGTTCCTGGACCCTTCCTAACCTCACTTCTCTCTATCCTCACTGCCACTGTTAACAGTACACCACTCCTACCCTGGACAACCACAACAGAGTCCGTGCTAAGCAGCTGTCTCTTCGCCCACCCTACACCCACTTCCTTCTGAAAAACATCTCAACTTTCATTTGGATAAAGTCCAAATCCTTGAACATGGCTTAGCATGTCCTTTGAGATCTGGCTCTTGGGGTCTTCTCACCTCTGTGCCCCACAAACTTAGCTCCAGGCTTTCTCTGAGGGCCTCAGAAACTCTGTGCACTTTAAGGATTCCCAAGCTTCGCTTGGCCCATTCTTTCTAAATCACACTCAACCATTTCCCTCCCACTCTTAACCCTCAACTAGGAAACCTCCAGTCTTGGGGAGCCCTCCACATATCCAAGTCAGGATTAGAGGGCCCTGCCAAGTGCTCCCTCAGCCTATACACAGTATTTCTCTCACTGAATTGTCCATAACTATTTTCTAGTTCGGTTCCCCTACGCTTGACTATGAGCTTCCCTGGGCAGGCCTGAACCCAGTTTGCCCACCTAAGCCAATAAGTAGCTCATGTAGAAGGCACCAAAACTAGTATTCTTGATAAATGAATGATAATGTACAATAAAATACCAGGATATCAATTTAAAGTGTTTGCAGTGACCCCCATCTTCCACAAAACATCTTAATATATTTTATTAAACAAAAACAGCTGATACGTTGAAATGCATACTTCCTTTATACAATTAGGCCTTTCTTTGAGGACATCGGTGGTAGTCAAACGTCTGGTGTACTGGGTGGCTTAGTTTAAGATAATGTCAGCTACTGCCTGGACTACTACACAGTCTTTCACATTTGCCTTAACCTCATTCCCAGCTACAGTCTTCTCCACTGAGCAGCCAGTGATCTTTTCAAAACATAAACAGATACGGTAACTTTTCGACCAGCCGCTACAAGGTCTTGCAAGATCCGCAGCCTGTTGCACCCCCCTCCCCCACCCTCAACTTCATTACTAACCATGCTCCCTCTTATGCTGCTTGACTACCTGGCCGCCTTTCTTGCAGTTCCTGTCAACAGCAAAGATTATTCCAGTCAGAAGCTTTGCCCTTTTGATGTCTCTGCCTGAAAAATTCTTCCCTCAGATCTTGGCATGGCTAGCTCTTCCTCACTCAGATCGATACTAAAATGTCACTTCCTCAGAGACCTTTCCTATCTAAAATAGCCATCGCGCCCTAGACAATCTCGATCCCATTATTCTGCTTTTCTTTACATAACCTATCCCTATCTGATAAATAATTTTGTGTTTGTCGGTCTCTCTGTTAAAGTGACGAGGGCAAACGATTGCATTTATCCTATCTTGTTCACCGTTATCTCCCTAACGGCTAGAACAGTGACCGGAGGGTAAATACCGGCTAAACGAAAAAATGCACTTAATAAACACGTCCACCTCCCATATTTTCCACTTTTCCCTTTCATTCACAGGAATTCGCGAGGGTCGCTGTTCTTGCAGGAAAGCCCTTGAAGCGTTACCGTCACCCCACAGAGAGTCCTCTTTGCCACGCTAGGCGAGGCACGCCCAGCCTGGGAGCTAGCGGAGCCTCAGGGACCGAGAGGGGAGCCCAGGACCCGGCACTCGCGTCTAAAAAGCTCTGAGGAGAGCGGCGGTACAAGGCGCCCCTCTCCTGGCTTCCTGGGGACTGACGCCTCCGCAATCCTAAACCCTGGAACAGCCTCTCAATCGGCCGCACACACGCCTCCCCCGCCGCCGAGGTTAGCAGCTGCGCCCACTTACCTGCCAGGGATCGGACTCAAGCCACTCTGCTTTTGCACCGCCATTCGAGCGAACCCCAGCCCCTTCCGAGACACCGTAGTTCACGGAAAGTACAAGGCGTTTCCTCTTCCGCATGCGCAGAGGGCCTGTTCGGCCTACAGTGTTTCTTAGCAACCGCTTCGAGTCCCTCCGCCAGGGGCGGAGCAGCGGAAGCCACGGGGAGGGGGAAGTGAGTGAGGCCAATCGGAGACGAGTCCTAACCTCGCTCGGCACGCCTCCTCTTACTGTCGCGAATGCACAGGCGGCTTTACGGCAGGCAAGGGGTGGGTGCTGCTGGGGTAAGGAGGAGGGAAGGAAGCAACCAACCAACCAAGTCGCCTCCACCCCCCCACCCCCACCCACCCCGGACCTAGTTTACGGCTCCGGGCTCAGGCTCCAGTGCGGCCGCTGATTGGCTGCTGAAGGCTTGGTCCCATCCCAGTGACCCCAAAGTGCTGGAGGGAGGGGGCGGGGGTGGATCAGTGCAAAGTGCATCCCGAAAGCCCCCTGCCTGGATCCCCCGCGGCTGGCACTTCGGACCCTGAATGACCTGGGACCTCGCTGCCCCGAGACCTCCCGTGTCCCCTCGTAGCTGGGAGCCTCCGGCCCGGAGCGCGGCAGCCCCCTGCTCCGAGCCCTCAGACGGGGACTGCCCCCCCACCCGAGCCGGGACTTCCTCCCTGCACCCCTGCCCCGAGGCTGCCCGGCGGCCAGGACCGCCGCCTCCAGTCTGCTCGGCAGTCTGGATGCTCACCGGGCTGGGGCCGTGAGGCATCGAGGAGGATCAAGAACACCCGTGTCCGGCCCTGCCTGGGCTGTTTCTTCAATGGAGAAGTTGGTGAGTGTGGAGGAGGCTGAAAGAAAGAAGAGAAGCAGCAGCTGAGGAGACAGGTAAAGTCAGTTACCTCCCCTGAGGGGAAGGGGGCTGGCCTGGGAGGGAGGAGAATCACTGCTTCTTCCTGCTTGCCTTTTACCAGTCTCTTCCTCTGCTCCCCCTTCCTCAGAGCCCCCTCCTCAGAGCCCCCGGGGTACTGCACCACTCACAGGTTTCTGATTTCCAGGTTTGAGCTGGCTAGGGGAGGCGAGAGAGCAGGAACGGGGCTGCCCACCCCCAGAGAAGCAGCAGAGAGCCTCTGACCAGCATCCTCCATAAAGGTAATAAGCCAGCCCTCCCCTCCCCCACTGTTTATTCCTGGCCCCTACTCATTAAGCAGTGCTTTATTTTCAGGATGGTTACCTGGGAATGCAACCCGTTCCTGGCTCCCAGTTTCCCAGCAAAAACAAAAACACTGCCTGTGCCCCAATCCTTAACATTTTAATAAGTTTTCTTTACCAGGAACATGTTTTTCCCCTTTCTGTCTGTACAGTGTGTTTCCGTGTTTTGCATTATCTTTTGGTGCACTGTACTATTTACCCAGCTCAGAGACTTTGAGGCCTTTTTGTAGCTCCCCCTGCCCCTCTTACTCTCATAAGAATTTCTCAGTTCCTTGTTAATGGCTTGTTAGTTCTGAATGACTCTGCTTTTCAGTTAAAGCACAATTTTCTGTTTTCCCCTGTTCTTTCCTATCATCTTTCCTCTACCTCCATCAGAAAATCTTTTGAGTTACCTAACTGACAGGGGTTTGGTAGAGGATGGTACAGTAATAGTTTGAAATTTGTGAGTTTCAGAAAATAATGTGACTTTTTTTCTCTAGTAAAAAGTGAATCTGTGTACCTTAGTAGTATGAATGGTATGAAAGCAATACTCCCTCCCGAAGCACTTATGTATAATTAACTCTTTGGGCTTTTGTGTGTTTCTGTGTGACAGATGTGGATGGGCTCTGAAACTCTTATAAAAAGATAAATCGTATTTGTTATACCTCATTTTCTAATACTTATAAAACTTTACAGAATATTTTGTTAATCTTTTGACATTCAGGAATTTTAAAACAAAAGAATGTTTTGGTGTGTTTAGAATCTAGGGTTTTATTTTGGCACTCGTCATAAGATTTCTCATTTCAAAACCATTACAGAGAATTTGTTAAATTGAAATTTAAGCATCTAATTCATGTGATCACATTTCTGCTGCTGTATTTCGTTGCTGCCTCTGAAAATGCACTAAAGGTAGGTTTAGGACATTCATGTAAGTCCTAAAGAGGGGATGTGAACAGGGAAATTATGTAAGAGTTAATTCAGAAATTAGCCAAATGAATAGCTTCTCCAACATCCAATAGCAGGAGTATAAAGTGACTTGTTAATCTCAGAGTTATTTTAATATCTTCAATTGTTTAGGGAATTTTAGGTACAAAGAAGTACTTAAAATAGCAGAAGTTGTTAGGAAATCTTTGGCCTTCTCTGTTCTCCTGGACTTTCTGCCTTCCAGAAAAGGAAATTAATGTCTTTCCTGATTCTTCTAATTGTCAAGGTACAGCTAAAGAGACTTTTAAGAGGCTCTGAGGGTTTGCATATTCTTGAAACCTGGCACTGGACACCAAAATGAGAGCGTATGCTACTGAATGGGATTTAAAATCAGTATCTACCAATGACTATTACACAGTGAGCATTTAGGGCACCCTTTGTATGTATATGTAAGGTCCACTTCATTTCAGTAAAAGCTAGGTAGAATGCGGCTTTCATTATTTAAATATGTGAAGCACTAGAGAAATGCCTAATGATTCCTTTAGAACTTTAAAAAAATGCTAAAATACTTGAAATATGTTTTTAAGGTAAAAATGAATTATGTATTTTCTATTCAGGCCTTCTCAGTTAAATATATTTCTGCTTTAGATTGAACTCTAGCATGTTTTCATTTCTGAGGGATATTATCACCTGTGCTGAGTCAAGTATGTAAGGTAAAGAGAGGAACACTGCTTTCCTCTGGTTTCCAGTGAGTTCATTCTCATTGCTTAAATAATGTTTCGTTGATCCTCTCAGCTTTTAATGATTTTTCTAAGATTACAGAATATATATAAATTGTCAGCATCTGTTCCTAATATCAGCATGATTGAGAGTATTTGGTCTAGATTATGCCAGTCATGTAAAATATTTAATTTAGTACTTTGTTACCAACATCGCCAGTTAGGTAGTTTATCTTTTTCAATCTGGTAGTTAAATTTGTGTTAATTCTGTTGTCAGTCACATGGTTTTGAAAGGAAAAAAAATTTTTAAACACCCAGTTTTTTTGGTAACCAAGTAAGATTTATGATCACATAGGAAGAATCACTGATTTTAATTGAAGTGTTGTATTTTGAGTATGCTATGGCCAGTACTTATTTTCTTCATACCTAAAGTGATGCCATTCACAATTATGACACGTACAATATCTCTTTATTTGATAACACAGAAGTACATACTGTCCCTAAAAAGTCTAAAGTCATGTAGTTTCTATAAGCATATCTAACGTGACTTTTAGCCTTTCATTTCATTCTCAACAGAAGGCATGCCTTATGTGGAATGCTTGTCTCATTTCTTACAAACTTAGGTACCGACATGAGGTTGCTAAGGTGGTAGTGCCAGACATGGGTTAATGAGATAAGATTGACAAGACTTCATCATTTATAATACTTGTGATTTATGCTTTGAATTGGGTCTGGGTAAGTGAATTACGAAATTTCCTCTATTGCCTTGTCCACGTTTCATGAAATTTGTTGGTCTTTCTGTTAGAATTTAGGAGACTTATAGATAAGTCTCGCATGATAATAAATCCTTATGTTATTTGGAGGCCCAGTAATTTGAAGGGATACCCTCACTTGTTTTGGAACATAAACACTATGGTGCTTTGTTGAGTGATACTAAAATAACACTTCTACTTCATTTTGGGTTCCAGGGGCTTAGTTATATGAGTAGACCTTGTTAACATCCATCTCACCCATGTTGCACACTTCGGGCATTGTAGTGTTTCTGCATCCATCTTCCTTCTTAGGACTTGTGAACTATTGGTTTTTTTGTTTTTTGTTTTTTTTTTCTCTCCTCAGGGCCAGTATCCTTGGAGTTGCTGATTTTCTTTCCTTTCCAGCCTGTATCTCTGTTTACTCTGCAAAGAAATGCTTATTTCTTCTTTTGAGTAGCAAGCTGTTATCTTGTTTCTAGTTTGTGTGAAATCTGGAAGCACAGTTCTAATGTGTGTCACTTAATCAAAAAAATGTGTGGCCTTTTAGTGAAAATAATATGTAAAAAGCCATTAATGACTAATCATTTATGCCAAAGGAAACTGGGGACATGTGGGCAAATTTGGTGGAAGTTATATAATTTTAGACAGATCTTAAATATGTTTTGTTTTATAGCTATTTTATTCTTTATTCTGTGAATATAGATTTCTTTTAATTATATGAAGCAAGAAGCTTTGGTTTTAACTTAATGAGGTTCACTTGGCATCTATATAGAAATTAGATGGCAACATTTTAATTCCTAAATTTATAGTTTCTAATACAGTCAACAGTATAAAAGCTCAGATGCCTAGATTGTTTTCTTTTGTAAGAAAAGTGTAGAGTAGAAAAGATGAATTCGTAAAATTTAAACACACCATTAACATTGGGCAGTAAAATCTTATATAAAAGTGATATACATTGGGAAGCATCTCATTTTGATATATAATTCTGAAGTCTTCCTTGTTAGTATGTTTTTTTTGTCTTTTTCTGACTGTGAAACCTAGAATGGGATTTCTAAATATTGCACCCTCAGAGTTTTAGTCATTCTGAGTCAACTTACATTGTACATATGTTTATTTAGAAAATTGCCTCCTTCGCCATATTTTTTTATTTTATAGGTCACTACCATGACCTATCAGACTTTCAAACTTGCACTTTTTGAGGGGGAATAGACTTTTTTCCATTCTCATATCTGGGCTTCCTTTGTAGTTTTTAATAGGTAACTTTACCACTAGATATTATATTTACTAAGTTCAATAGTCTTTTTTCCCTGTACTTATACATACATGGATGGTTCTACTCCAGTAAGTACAAACTCTCATAAAATTACACCACGATGAAATTAACTCGTCTGATGCTTTGAACTATTAGGATATTTTGGTAATAAGTCATTGGCCTTCATAATTTAAGGTATGCAGTTGACAGGGGTCATGTGTGCATGTTATGTGTGTCTATGTGTTTTTTCCCATAAAGACTGAAGCGCTTTTTTGGTTTAAACCTATGGTTATTATTTATAGAGCTTGATATTGTCAGAAAAGAGAAAAAGGATCTTAACCATTCTAGGAGTATTTGATTCATTTGAAGTATGCAGAACTCTCTATTAAAGTTCTACCCAGGGATAATACCAGTGGCCAAAGCCTAGTAGTATGCCAGGCATGTGTCAGGCACTCAGTAGACTTTCATTTGTCTAATTGAAGCAGACCATGTGGGATTATCACAAGTTACTATTGTTTGTGCGTCTTTCTTATAAGAGAGAAATAGTTGAGTCACTTTGACTTTTAACAAAGCCTTTCTTGATATTATTAATAAATTAATACCATTTCATATTCTCCTCAACCCCCACCTCACATGTCCTCCCCACCACTCTGCTGCATTCATGGAAGTGGTGATGGCTATATGGAAAGCAACAACAAGAACAAGGATTCTTAAAGGCTCAAGACAGTAGAGGGTCATCTCCACTTTTCTTGGGAGGCAGGGAGTACTGAGGACACACTTAGAAGTATGGCATTCAGTGGTGTTCATTCTTGCACTGTAGGTGTAGCTCACATGTGAAGTAATCACATATTCCTTTGTGGAAATGCTGCAGGCTCATCATTGGAGACATTGGTTTGCATTTTTTATTTTAGTACAGTTCTAGATTTATGGAAAAATTGCGAAGGTAATACAGAATTCCCATATACTGCACACTCACCTTCCCCTAATTAACATCTTATATTAATAGATACATTTGCCACAATTAATGAACCAGTAATGAACATTCTTATTAACTAAAACCCATACTGTATTCAGATTTCTTTAGTTTTTACCTAATATCTTTTTTCTGTTCTAGGATCCCATCTAGGATATCACATTCCATTTAGTCGTCTCTTTAGGCTCCTCTTGGCTATGACTGTTTCTCAGACTTCTTTGTTTCCTTGCTTTTGATGACCTTGACATTTTGAAGAGTACTGGTCAGGTATTTTGTAGAATGCCCCTCAATTGGAATTAGTCTGATATTTTCCTCATGATTAGGCTAGGTCTATGGGTTTTGGGGAGAAAGCGCACAGAGGTAAATTGCCATTCTCATCATATCATACTAACAACATGACTTGGCACTCTTGATTTTGACCATGATCACCTGGCTGAGGCAGTGTTTTTCAGGTTTCCCACTGTAAAGTTTCTTCCCCCCTCCCCCATACTATCCTCTTTGAAAGGAAGTCACACTTAAGGAGAGAGGAGTTGTGCTCCACCTCCTTGAGGGGAGAGAATTTACACAAATTATTTGGAATTTTGCACAGGAGATTTGTTTCTTATCCCCCTTTAAAAATTTAATTAGTTATTTATATCAATACAGACTTATTGATATTTATTCTGTACTTTGGGTTAGACTCTAATAGTACTTTGACTATCTTCTTGTTCGAATTGTTCCATCTTGGCTATTGAGAGCTCTTTTGGTTGGCTCCTGTGTCCCTTTGACATACCCCCATCATTGCATTTTTCTTGGAGCACTTCCTTGCTTTTTGGCACTGTGAGATGCTCTAGGCTCATCTTCTGTATTTCTTGCCCAGTCTTAGAATCAGCCATTTCTGTAAGGATAACTGTGCATTTTTTACAGCTTGCCATGTAGGAGTTGTTCTGATCATGCCTAGTTCAGTTAGAAGTGTTAAGCAGAGTTTTAAACTAAATATTATTTATTTCCAAGTGCATGTTTGCAAAGTCTTTGGCCTTCTTGAAGAAATTTGACAAGGAAAAATAAGGTGTGAAAAGAGGAAAGGTTCAAAGTAGACCATACTAATTTGGATTGGTTGAAAATTCTGGTCTGTAGCCACCACCACCACCTATGACTGTCACTTTTCTCCATCGCTCATCAGGTTGCCAGGCAGCTTGACCATTCCTTGTTTAAGTGATGCAGGGCTTATTAGCACATCCACCACACTGGGACGGAGTGGCAGTTCTCCCAGTGAGTAATTCCTAGAGGGATTCTGGTGTGATGCATGGAAGTCACTTTGCCTGTGTTCTTAACCTTAATGGAATTCACAGATCTAGGATTTATTTGACGTGGCGAAAGATCCCTATTCTTTTAGTTGTAGAAAATTTTTTCAGAATCCATATGGAGAAGCTGGCAAGACTGTTAATCTTTTACCTAGTTTGGTGTATGCATAAAGGAATAAAAAAGTTTCAAAATTATTAACGTGATGCCTTTTGCATGTATGAAGAACCAACATTTAAAGAAAATCTCCTTTTAGTTGTCATAGATTTCATTTTGACCCTGGCCACCTATTGTATTGAATGCAGGTATATTCTCATTTTAATTGTTTAGAAAGAGTAAGAAACTTGCGATGTCAATTAAAAAGTAATTCAGTACTGAAAATATATTTTGAATAGAGCAAAAAGAAGAATTTGTGTTTGCATCCAAATTCCAAGTGGTGATTTATTATTTTCCTTATTCATTAAAAAAAAAAACCCCTGCCTTTCTAGAAAAAAAAAATTCCTGAAAATAAGTCATATCCTGTACCACCTTGCGGGTTAATGTAGTTTTGAGATCATTTTTTCTAAGCATTGATTTAAGTTCTTTCTTTGCTCTGTAAGTTTGTTGTAAAGTGCTAAAATATAAGCTCATGAAAAGGTAGACTACTCAGGCAGCTATGTTTCTTTATTTTTTTAGAAAATTTCCTGTGATTGTTATTTCATTCGTTTTTAGGTTAAGAAAGAGCTCATTGACACTGGAATCTGGACACACTCTGAGCCCCCAACTCACGATGCTGTATGTGCACAATGGTTATTAGGCAATCCACGTATCAGGAAAAGGGGCATTCTTCCCGTAAGGTGAGTGACTGAGGGTCATAGGTCACCTGTGCTGTTCTGGGGGAAAATCCATTTAGCTTTTATTTCTTCTTCAGATCACCTAATTCATACTAAACATAGCACTTGCTAAAAGAAAATCCAGGTTTGTTTTGATATTGTTTGAATCTTTTTCCTTGCATAGTATGCCTTAAGTGCCAAGGTGATCATCCCAATTAAAAAAGAAAAATCTGTTAAAGATGATTGTTTTGAGTATATGGTAGTAGTTTCTATTAACTCCTTCTAATGGTCTTCATCTTTCCTTATAATGCTAAAAATAAGCAAAAACCTATTCCAAAAGGATTCTTGGTTTTAATATTTCTAAGACAAGAGACTTAATTTTAGTGTCAGTTGAAAAAGTAAGTGAAGAGATGGGGGAAATCACGTTTATTAAGAAAACAAATTGTCAGGAAATTTCTAATTTCCCAATTTTCCTTGAGGAGATAGCCTGATATTTTTAAATTACATTACTTAGTAGTGATACTTAGGAGTTTTGTAATAACCATTTTCTATGTATGAAACAAGATAGGATATGTGATTATACTATTAAGCTGTGATAATATGACCTAAGTTATGACCTAAGTTAGGCTTAAGTTGACCTTTGTACAGTCTATAAGGAGAAGTTTTACAAGGTAAACTATTATTGGTAACAAGATTATCCCAAGATGTCTAACCTACATATGAGACCAGAATGTCTTTAAAGGACCTTCACATAATTTTTTATTTTTAGAAATGGAAGCTACTAATTAGGAGGTGAGTTTAATCTATACCTTAAAGTTAGCCCAGATGGAATGGCTTCCTGGAATTATGTAGTTTAAGTTTCTGTATGTATTTAAAAGCTTAAAAATGCACTAAAAAAGTTTTTGTATACACACATAAAAGATGTAACTTTTCACCAGTTCAGTTTGGACTTCCCTGTTTGCATGAAGGAGATCTCATTTTACATTGAGTTTGAGTACACGCCTCTTTTGTGACCTATTAGAGAGTGTTGGAAATCTATATACTGCTTTTACCTTTTTCATGTGGTTAATCAACAGATTGTTTAGATTCCTTTAGTTTTTAAATATTTTGTATGATCTTGCTACTTTGAGTATTTGTAGAATAAAACTTCTAGAAAATGGAAATTAGAAAAGTGCAAAAGAAATGTGGCAGAAAAAGAGTAGTAGTAAATAGTGCCTCAGAGGACATAAAGTGGGGAGGATAGAAAGAGACAGAAACAAAAGGAAAGTAAATATAATCTACACATTTTCCTCTAATTTACTTAAACCCCACCCACTCCCCCTTCCCCCCAACTTTACACTCTTTGGGGCTAAAAATAAAATATTGTTGAAATACTTTAGGGGACCAGCCTAAAGGTTTTTGCTCTTTTAAAATTTTAAACTACTCATAGCTGGAGGTCTTTAGTCCTAGTCTATGAATTGTCCATTTGATACTCAATATGTACTCACTGATCTGTGATAGAATCCTTGAATGGTTTATAACTTAAATTTTCCCTGTGCATCAGGTAAATGCGAACTCCTAAGACAAGTACTCATTTGCTTCCTCTGTTGTCTCCATCTTCAGCTGCCCAGCATCACTTTCCATTTTACCTAAAATAAATGTTGTGTTCATTGGTGTTTGCTTTGAGTTTACAAAAGGCTGCAGAAGAAATTTCCTGTTTTGGCATTTTAGGGCTTTATGCCTCACTTTCTTTTTGAAATCTTTTATAATCTTATGGAAATAACTGAAAGTTTTGGTCAAAACTGATACATGTTAATTTGTTATAGTAGTATGAACTGTCATCACTGAAGTTTACATGATTTAGCAATGGAAACTTCTGTGCTATTTAATGAACACACTGTCAGGTGTCAAGTATTCTAAATTTTATGTATTCTACCTACCCTTCAAGGCTGATCCCTGTGACCTAATGAATCCTTTGTAAAAAGTGGACTCAGCTAGGATGTTACACCACCATTGTCGAAGGAACCCTGAACTCCAGGAAGAGTTGCAGATTCAAGCTGCAGTGGCTGCCGGGGATGTTCACACGGTACGAAAGATGTTAGAACAAGGCTATTCTCCAAATGGCCGGGATGCTAATGGCTGGACCCTGCTTCATTTCTCTGCAGCAAGAGGAAAGGAAAGATGTGTTCGAGTATTTCTAGAACATGGAGGTGAGTTTATTAGAAGCAAACCCTTTTTTCCCAAGGAGAAACTTAAAATGAAATTCTATTTAGTTTAAAATATATGAGTGCTTGTGTATATAATTTCTAATGCTTCTTTTTGCTAATACTCGACTTCTTATTCTCTCCTTTGTGAAGATGTGTTAAAATTATGCTGAGTCTTGTTTAAAACCAGATTGTCTAAAAAATCAGTTTGTTGAATGTGCTTTTTTCCCCTTGTAACTCTAGTTTCTATACAGCCAGATTTCCCCAGATTATTTCAACTAAAAGCAGCCCTTCTTCAGGTTGTCAAGTTGCTTTGTTTCAGAAGCAGAAGTGGCTGTGGTCCCAACAACTGAGAGTTGCTCAAGCTCCCCCTTTTGAGACTTGCTCAAGCTAACTGGGCTAGCACAGGCCCCCTGATAATACCATGGCCTTCAGGATACCCTATATTTTGAATTTACCTCTTCATAAAAAAATTTTAGTTGCTTTTATTACTGTTTTAGAGCACTTGCCTTTTCTAGAATTGTACATAGTTTCTAGGTATCCTACAAGATTGGTTAGCCGAGGTCTAATTTTGTGTAAACATATGCAGTTGGAAACTACATTTGACATTTAATGTTTTTGCTTGAAAAACTGTCCATTCCTGTAATTAATAGTAACTAAAAATTGTCTTAAAGTAGTTTACTTTTTTCTCCCATTATAAGTGTATTTTGTCATTTTTACCCATATTATTTTTGTAAATTATGGTGTAAAACAGCTTGGTTGGGACTCAGGATCCATTATGTACCATTCTAGGGCCTGGATTGCTTATTAACAGTCATTTAGTTCTATTTCTATGGTGTACTTTGTTACAAGACTAGTCAAACTTACTTGCAAACTAATTTGAAGTACAGAAAATGTTAGAAGTCACACAGCTCTCATTAGGGTCTTGTGAATTATGTGAAGATAGGAATACAAAGGCTATGAGCGTGGACTTACTGCAAAGTCCTGCTAAACCTGAGACTAGGAATCATCACACATCGGAGTGGCCCTGAAATAAGAATTATATCCCCGAAATAGTTGACTGTTGACAGGACACCACCATTTGCTAGCCTGTGCCTCCTTTGTAGCCATCCTCCATCCCTCCCTGCCACCCTTGCTCATATCTCATTTCACCTTGAAACTTGAAAACCTCAGCTCTGAAGGCAACGAAGGAGAAATGTAAGAGGAATGCCAGGAGAAAGAGCTGAAAAAACTAAGAAGTGGGTGAAGATTCAGAATACTTAAAATTCTGGCAGTGCTTAGTAAAATTAAGACCAAGATCAGAACTCACATTTTTAAATTCTACCTAGTCCTGTTACTTTTCTGTTTCTGCCAGCCTTGCTTTTAAAATGTTTTAAATATTAATTAAGAAAGAAAGTTCAATTACTCAGGTAATATATGAACTTGTCTCCTTAAAACAAATAAAATACATTTTCAAATAAATTACAAATAAAGCCAAAGTCCCCTTTGGCCAACTCCCAATCCTTATCTGCCTACCCCTGCCCAGACGTAACTCATGGGTATGAGTTTGGTTTGGTCCTTATCTTTCTAGATCATTTCCTAAATGTGCTTATAGAAAATATGTCTTATTGTGTTGTGTGTGGTTTTTAGAACATAAATGATATCATACTGACTGTATTATTCTGCAACTGTTATTTTTTGCTCAGCTGTATATAACTTAAGACTTTTTTAATATTGGGTTGGTAAACTTTCTGTAAAAGGCCAGATGGTAAAGATTTGGGGCTTTGCGAGCCCTCCTGTCTCTGTTGTTAACTACTCAACTCTGCCTTTGTAGCATGAAAGCAGCCATAGACGATATGTGGATGAATGAGTGTGGCCATGTGCTGATAAAACTATATTTATCAAAACCAGTGGTGTGCCGGATTCGGCCTCTGGTCCCAGTTTGCTGAATCCTATTTCCTCACCATCCCCCTCTCTTTTTGTGTATGTATGTGTGTATAGATATTTTTAACAGCTTTTATTGAGATAGAATTCACATACCTTACAATTCACCCTTTTAAAGTGTACAATTCAGTGGCTTTTAGTGTATTCATAGAGTTGGGCATCCATTACCACAGCCAATTTTAAAACATTTTCATTACCCCAAAAAGGAACCTTGTACCTATTCAGTATTAATACATATAGGTTTACTCTGTTCAACTGCTAGATATAGTATTTATTAGTTTGGATATACTATCATTTGTTTAAACCATTCTTTTTTATTTTTTGAGTGGATGAAATTTTCTCAGGACATTTTATTAAGAAGGTAACACATACATATATATACATGGTTAAAAACAAAACGAAAGGTGATACGGACTGTTCAGTGAGGGGGAAATGTCTGCTCTTCAGCATTGGCCCCTCCTCTCCTTCCCAGAGGCAGTCACTCTTACTGGATTCTTTTGTGTCCCTGCAGAGATAGTCTGTGCATATAAGTGTGCATATTTTCCACCCTCCATCTTCTAGCCTGCTTCTCTTTTGTTAATCGTCTGTTCTGCATCCTGATTTTTTTCACAAAACAGTTTCTCTAAGTGATAGTTCCTTGTCATTGATTCCATTGTATAGATGTAATTTATTTAAACTTATTCCCCATTGTTGGACTTTCTAATTTTTCATTTTTCTGCTTCTAGAAACAGTATTACAGAGAGTGTCCTTGACTAATCTTTTTACATATGTGAATTTATCTCTTGGATAATTCCAAGAAGTACAATTGCCACATCAAAGGGTTGTTAGGTTTTGTTGTTGTTGTTGCTGTTTTGATGGATATTGACAAATTGTCCTCCAAAGAAGGTTGTTAATGGCTCTGCCCTTAACCAGGTGGGAGGGTGCCCAGTCCCCTGCCTTTGCCAGGAGTGTATCACTAAGTGGTTTGCTCTTCCTCTGTGTGATTTGCTTGCCTCCTTTTTTCCCGAAAATGACATATGAGTAACAAAGCATTGCAAGACTGGGCTGCTTGCTTGTCTTTTTCTTATGACTTGTAGGAGTTGTTTATGTATTCTCTGCTGTTAGTTATATGTTGCAACAGTCTTCTCCCAGCTTGTAGCTTTTCCACATTGTTGTTTTGCTTGTTTTTTGGGGGCAGAAGTTTGCATTGTAAGTAGGTAAACTGTATTTTTCTTTTGGCTTATGGTTTGTGCTTTTTGTGTCTTGTACATCATACCACAGGGTCATTATTTGCCTATATTTTTTTCTAAAATGTTTCATGGAATTTAGGTCTTTAATCTATCCAGAATTGGTTTTGGTGTATAACATGAGGTGGTCAGGTACAATTGCATACATAAAGGTAGCCTAAATCATCCTTTCTTTCCTCATTGTTATCTCTTGCCAACTCAGGTATAAAGTTTTTATATACACATGGTTCCATTAGTTCTATTGTCTGTTGTTATATCCCTGGGTCAGTATAATATTGTTGTAAATTATTATTATTCTCTAATAAGTTTTAATATCTGGGGGAGCAAATCTCCTCTCCTTGTTGTTTAAGGATGTCTTGGCTATTCTTAGCACTTTACATTTCCATGTAAAATTTTAAAACAACAAAATTGCATATTTTGCAGAAGCCCCTCACTTATTCTTGTATAGCACCTTTTACTTCCTCCTTTTACCCTAGTACAATAAGAGATTCAGGGAGTAGTTTTTAATAGCACATTATGTATCGATTTGGAAACACAAATAGGAGAGGAGACCTCCTCCTCCTTGCTCCCGTTGGCCACATGTGATGCTTAGACTTGCTCTGTATTTAGTCTAGGCCTGGCTTCTGATTTCTAGGCACTGGTACCCAGCTGCCTGTTCAGCTTCTCCACAGTTGTGGCTCACAGCACAGCACAGCACGAGCTGCTGCTTTGACCGTGTTCTTTTGCAGTAGATGGCACTACAGCCTATGACTGCTGTGCCAGAAATCTAGAAACCATCCTTCTAAATAGTTGTCAGATCTTTTCACTTCCTTTCGTTCGAGGCACTGCCCCATCTTTGGGCAAGGAAACCTTGCTCCTCACCAGGACGGTTATGATGTCTCTTTCGTCCCTGCTTCCAGTCCTGCCCCCTTCCAACCAGTCTCTAAATGGAGTGATCTATTAAAAATGGCAATTAAAATATTTCCTTTTAAAATCCGTCGGTGGTTTCCCACTTCTCTTGGGGCAATATTGAGTCCTTAATGTGACCTACGTGGCCCTGCAGCATCTGCTCCTCTGCGATATCTTTCCAGCTTGTCTTTGAGCCACAGCCCATCTGTGTTCTTTCAGACTCACTGAGCTCAGAGGCGTGTGCCCAGGACCTGCTGGGGTCCCTCTGCTCCCTGCACTGCTGCCACCTTCGCCTGGCTCCTGCCTGCCTCTCCCTCACCTCTCCCTACACTTTCTCAGGGAAGCCTTCCCTTACCATCCGGACTTGGTCAGATCCTTCTATCATGTGATACTATCAGGCTCTGTACCTTTTTATTGTAGTTCCTATCACAAGCATAATAAATTATTTTTGTAGTATTCTATTTAATTCTCTTCTTGTTAGTCTGAGGCTTCATGAGGACAGAACCTGTATCTGTACTGTTCTCAATGAGAGAGAGAAAGAGGAAACAAACACCAGTTATCTAAAATAATTGTTCCCCAGCCTTACAGAGACAAGGCTGATCCTTTTCTTTTTTTTTTTCTTTTTTTTTTAAAGAAGATGTTGGGGTAGGAGTTTATTAATTAATTAATTTATTTTGCTGTGTTGGGTCTTCGTTTGTGTGCGAGGGCTTTCTCTAGTTGTGGCAAGCGGGGGCCACTCTTCATCGCGCTGCGCGGGCCTCTTACTATCACGACCTCTCGTTGCGGAGCACAGGCTCCAGATGTGCAGGCTCAGTAGTTGTGGCTCACAGGCCCAGTTGCTCCGCGGCATGTGGGATCTTCCCAGACCAGGGCTCGAACCTGTGTCCCCTGCATTAGCAGGCAGATTCTCAACCACTGCGCCACCAGGGAAGCCCCTGATCCTTTTCTTTTTATTAAAAAATATTGATT